ATCCAGTTCAATTGCACATCCAGTTCAATTGCACATTGTTCGCACCTTGCGTCATCGGACTTACAGTCCCACGACATTGTTGCGCTTACATTAGGCCATATGGTCTTCGGCTAGTTATGGTCTTTGGCTAGTTATGGTCTTTGGCTAGTTATGGTCTTTGGCTACGGTTTTTTTTAGGTTACGGTTTTAGACTACCGGGAGTCGGAAGTACCGAGTGTGTTTGAACATCTAGCTAGTGGTTTGATTAGCTATCGCATGCAGGATCATGCTTGTTGATTGGGTTGGGTGGGTGTTGGGCTGTTCTTTGGATCTTTCCTTAAGTGTTTTAATATGATGAAATAACATTGTCAGAACGAATTTTCTTTGGATGAAATCGTGTGTAATTCCGTTAACTCTAGTAAGGGTTTCAGGTGATAGTATTTCGCGTAGCAGAAGTTCATTGCATTGTAGAGCATTTGGTTTGGTACCAGTTGGTTGAAGGAAGATGGCGTTAGCAGATTGATTGGCCCAGAACCTGAAGAGCTCTGATCCTGGTTGTGGGAAATCCGGGCTAGGAGGTGTAACTTCACCTGCCAAAATACGAAGTCGATAGGGAGGTCGTGGTAGGTCATGGCCGTGGAGTTTAGTCCAATATTTTAATTTCTCAGTAAGGAATTTAGCATTATTTTCGCATGTCTGACCCCACGACTTAGTAATTATAGTACGTCCTGTACGTAGATATGATACATACAACACACTCTCATTCAATAGTACTTTTAATGGATACTCAAAATACACACGACTTAGACCCAACTGCTTAAATCGAACTGAATCATCCGGACGCAACCGTACAGGCTCACTACGCGGAACCAAAGGCAACCTCTCACCCGTCAAACCATCCACTACTTGGAAACGAGCCTCACTCCTACTACTCGCAGCAAACTCCTCAAACGAAAAACTCTGCTGCACACACGCGTGCACTTCACCACAACGGTAACGGAACACAAACGGCACCTCAAACGCTCGATTACTCATCCAATAGTGACGACTCAGACCAGGGGTCGCTCCACCAGACTTGTTCGATCCACCAGACTTGTTCGATCCACCAGACTTGTTCCCTGCAACAGACTTGCTTACCCCAACAGGCTTTGCCGAAAACTTCACCGAGGACTTCACCGAAGACCTCCCCGACAACGCCGACTTCATCGACAACTCAGAAGCTGCAGACTTCAACCCCGCCATCTCGCTTCCCTCGGTCTCCTCCATCAGTCCCATCGTCTCCATCTCATCCGACTCCGCATCTGGTTCTGACTCCGCATCTGGTTCCATTTTGTCGTCAGGTTCACCCATGCCTGCTACAACATAATTTTTGAGGACGGAGACGAAGAGGTCTCGTTCCGACCGTCTGAAAGTCTCCGGGGTCGGCGCCGGTCCCGGTGGTTTCATACGGCTAAAGTACTCCGAGCTTTCATAACGAATGATTTTTTTCTTGGGACGTCTTTCGGGTTCGGTGATGTCCACGGGTTCGCTCACCAGTTTTCGGGAGATGACCTCGGCACCGAGCACGCTGTCGAGCCGGTCCAATTTGTACGAGCACTGCGTAGTCAGTCGGTGTAGAACGCGGTTTGCCGGACTCGATCGTCGGGGTCCATGGGGGTTCTTCTTAGTCCCGTGGTCTCCGTCTAGTTCTAGACCGGAGTCGGGGGGTGTGGT